TCAGTCGCATGATCGTCGACCACATTTTTATGTCCTCTGTTCGATATTGCCTCTGCGATCCGTTCTGCGGGTTGTTGGGATGTCTGCTTCCTTGTTTTTGTGCAAATGGTACAGACGCGTGGATCATTATGTTGCGGATTTCAGAAGTGCGTATAAAAGAATCGGGTTGAAGGTTTTTTTTCTGGCCTAACGCTTACGCCACAGTAAGAACAGAGATGAGAGAATGCCATACCTCCCACTTTTATACAGTAATGACCTTTGCACTCCTCTGCCGCATCTTTCACTGCCGTCAAGATAGCCTGCAGCTTAGCGAATCACTTGCACCGAGTTGAGAGTTAAGTGGTAACCCGAAAGACGAGGTAGCAAGCTGTACATCCTACATACCTGGTGCTCTCACCGACATGCGGCACCTGTAAATTATGTCGATATCAATTGTGCTTACGGCCCGTTCACTTCTCTCGCTGAGAATAAACGAACTCCGTCGGAAAAAGTTGTTCTCAGGATGTTTCGTTAATTTAAGAGAATAAATAAGCAGTAGCATTACAATAGGTCTTTATTTGCAATGCCACAAAAGGCATTGATCGTAAGAACTCGTACGATGAGGAACGGAACCCTATTTTCCAATAGCAGCTATTCGACTGCAGAATGTGTAAAGTTACTAGGATAAGCGTCAGTGTCCAGCGCGAAAAAAATTGACCGAACTTCTGAAGTACCTCCACTGCGTACGCCTATAGTCAGTCGCAGCTCCGATCCAACCTCCAATCGCCGGACTCGCGTTACCGGTCTTGCTGTTTTGAACGTTGTTTAATCACAATATCTGTGCACGTGACTTAACTATATAAGTCCGATACCCGGTCAGTGCATAGGAAGCGTGTCGAGGTTCCGACGCACAGTGTAAATGTGAATAAAGGAAAGTTCTCCTTGTCTGCTCATGAGCACCGGAATCACCCACGCCGGTAAGTCGGTAATGCACTTAACATCCGTGTGTTTAGGTTGAAGCTGTTGTTATATTACACAGCCTCAGAAACTTTTAACCTGATTGAATGGTGACAGGAAAGACATGGAACATGCCTGATGGGCTTGGAGCAGTAAGTTCTCTGAATTAGGCCGTAAACTTCGTAGCAGTCATAACCTGAACACAACTAGATTCGGCCCGCGTTATGAGTTTTCGGAACTGAGAGTACTTCATTCATTTTCCATGCCCGCTCTTAGTCTCGAGTTGTATGGACAGCTGCTTCAAAAGAATTTTGCAATGGTCCATTGCCAAACGCGCAAGTTTCTGTTTCAGCGAAGAGTTACTGCACTTTTGATTAAAATAGTCATGCGGTTAAAAGTTCGGGCAGTCTTTTTCGACTTCTAAAAGACCACAGTTATTCAGTAGGTAGAGTGTAGAACTCAGAACTGAGAGGTGCAGGGTTCTAGCCGTGGTCAGGTTATTCGCTTTGCTTCTAAAGTTGATTAGTGAGTAGCGCTTTGTGGCAACAGGAGACTACACACGATAATTGCTACATAGCTGTAGACCGCTTTTAAAATAAGGCACTCTTGACTGATTACGTAGAAACGGCGACAAGCGCTGCGCCGAAGACTTCATGAAAAGAAGGAAGCTGCAGATCGTATGGTTGTCAGTCATGAAAATGTAAAAACAGCCGTCATCTTAACGGTTAAGAACTTTTATCTCGTTTTCTACTCGAGTTTCGGAAGTTTCACCGCGATTCTCCTGCGATGGTCAAGAGGATCAGTCAGTGTTAATTTGTTAGGCTCTCTACCGACCACACATATTTTTTCAATCACGTTGACGAATTCACTTCCATTCAATCGTCCTTCGAGCGTGTTTCTTCAAGTACGTCTTGTGGCTATTCAGGTCCACATTGAAGAAGATATATGAAAGTAAGTCGATTCTTTCATTCTCAAGTACTGTTTTTTTGAAGATAGGGGTAATGATGAAAACAACTCACGTTCTTCGAGTTAATTCTCTAGCTTGATTGTGGTTTCTAATCGGAGTTTCGTTCTCGCGCGAAGCGTTTTTTAATAGTGTGCGGAGGTATGTCACTGATTGATTACTGTTGCCTCGTTAGCCGACACTTTAGGTATTACGAGTGTTGATAAAACTTGAGTGCTACCTTGCGACTGAGAAACATGCACAGTGTTGTTTTTCATGCTAATTTGTGATCTCATTTTAATCTTTTCACGCTCTGTATGACATGGACACGAGGCTGCTGTTATAAACCATGTTCATTCATAAACGCTCAGCGGAGGTGTTAAAGTAAAAGGCTTGATGTCTGAAGGGCATTTCTCATTGAATGAATGCAGGGCCTGACACGGGAACCTGTTTTCTCTACATTCACTCTTCAACAGTGTTCAACAATGTTCGACTTCATTTAAAGGCACGGTGCTAATTTAATCAGAAGTGAGAGTCTTGTGGTAACTTCCGGTACGCAATTGCGAACATTCTCGTCCATCTGACCTGTTTGCATTAACCTTCGCCATAAGTAAAATTTAGAAAGTCTTAGTTCCCTCGGTTTGGACCAGTGTTCGAGACAGTCCAGCGAAGTAAACGGTGCAGTTCGTTTAGATCTTCTGATAAGTAATTATTACTTCTACTGTAAACAAAGGCGCCATTTGAAAAACACTTGAATTCTGTGCGTCTGCATGCGTCGATCGTTATTAAGTGTTTGTAATATCGGTTATCGGTTTCTCTGCTGAATTGGCTGAAATACCCTCTTGGATGACACGCATACCATAGAAGACGTATGTTTGACCGGATTGATTTCGAAAACTTATTTTCGAAATTCAGGTGGTAACTGGGTTGAACAA